CACATAGCATCTTCTTATATGGGATGATCCTGAAATGTTTTGTCTGTTTGTATTTGTGTGTGTGTGTACGAGTTAGTGTGTTTGTTTGTATGTATATTTTGTATGTATGTATGTATGTATGTATGTATGTATGTATGTATGTATGTATGTATGTATGTGTGTGTGTGTGTATGTATGTATGTATGTGTGTATGTATGTATGTATGTGTGCATGCATGTGTATATTTGTGCGTGTTATGTTTGTGTTATTTATGTATTATGTGTATGTGTGAAGAAGTGACATGTTTATATGTGTGTATGTGTGTGTGTGTGTTTGTATGTTCTATGTATGTATGAGTGCACGTGTTTGCATATATGTATGTATGTTTTTTGTATGTATATCTATCCACTCAAGCGGATAATAATTGGCAATTAACTTGTCTCATTCACTTATTTCTTTCCATCCATCACTCACTCGCTCACTCGTTCATCTGTTAGACAGCCATGTTTGTTTGTTTGTTTGTTTGTATCTTTGTGTGTTTTTCATCATTTCTTCTTTTTTTAATAGTTTATTCGATAGTTCTTATATATATTTCTGTATGAAGGTTGGACTGTTTGTATGTTTGTACGTGTGTATGTATGTATGTATGTATGTATGTTTGTATGTTGATTTGTTTGTTTGTATGCGTGTATGTACGTATTCATTTAGGTACGTTTAAATGTTTGTATATATTGTTATTTTTCAATGATTAATATGTTTAGCAAGAAAATGTTTATGGGAAAACACTAACTGGATTCCAGTAAGTTATGAACCTCTAAGTGTTGACATCAATAATTCGGTTTGTTTATGTCTCTCTCTCTCTCTCTCTCTCTCTCTCTCTCCCTCTCTCTCTCTTTCTCTCTCTTATTTGTCTTATTCGTTCGTTTTCATTTATTCATTTAACTGTTCATCCATCTATCCATCCATCAAACTTCTTTCTTAAAAATAAGTAAAAATATTTATAGTTTATTCCCATACTCAATTTAATAGAAAACATCCATTTTGAGTGTACGTCCGTCTGGTTGGCTGTTTGTCTGTTTATTTGCATACATCTATTTCGTTGTATGTTTG